TCATCTGCAAGTGTGGGTGTTCTTGCGTCTGTCCGCCCTCTTCTTATCAGCTGATTGCTTTGCTTCCCAGTCTAGTCCTCTGTGGCTGTGTCTCTGACTCTGAGCCCATGAGTCCCCGGGTCCTGCTTCGCTGCTGGCCGACCAAGTCTCCACCCGGATTCCCAGTAGTCTGCCAAACGATGTAGGACTTAGCTCGCCGCTTCATTGATGTTCATCGGTTGCTTCTCCTTATGGGTAACGTGCGTGGTCACCAATCAGAGTGTGTATTTCCACTGCATCTTGGTCTTGGAGAGGATTTGCACTGAGAGGACTCAACCACTTGCCTTAATGTCTCCTAGGCAAGGGACTTGCTTGTTCTTGTGGTAACAATCAGACTGCCTTTCTTGTTTTGTATTTTTCCAGTAGATATTTCTCTCGAGATGTGTCTTCTGTTTTTCTGGTTGTTCCAGGCTGGTCTGCATGTCCTTTCAAGAGGACAGTTTTCCGTCTCTGAAGGTCTGGATTGTGTTTCAGGTTTACATCTATAGTCTTGTGTAATGCAGAGGCTTCTCAGGAAACCTCCTTTACTGGATACATTGTAGCCCCATTTTAGATATTCCAATCAGTTTTAGGCAGAAGACGGACTTATAAGCTTTCTGTGGTGATATTTCTGGCTATTCCTTTCTATACTCTGCTGTGTCTGTTTTATAATATAATGCATGCAAATCCAAGGTTCAAGAATCAGCCAAGCATCTTACCATTATTCCCCCCTTTTCCCCATTCCAACCATGTCCCAGTCTGTGTAACCCAGAGCCCTGTTGTTCCAAGGCTGTGCCTACAACATTTTTTACCTCTGTCCCATTTAGCTCATTCCTACTTGTCTAATTGTTCTCCCGTCTGCTTTGTTCTTCCATTTCCCTCTCCCTATTTGTATATTGCCCCCCTCCCCAACACCCAAACTATCCCGTGTCTATTCCCTGCCCTGTGCCCCACCTTCCCCTCCCGTCCTTAACACCTACGCCCTAGCATCCAGTTAATCATCCACTTTAGTGGAATAGTATAGGATCTTTTTCTTAGTCTTTTACAGTAGTGGACCTATGCAGTATTTTTCCTTTTGTGATTGAATAATTTCACTCAACATAGTGTTCTTAAGGTTCATCCATGTTAGGAAGTGGCATGCAGCTTCCTTGTTATTTTTCAAGGTAGCATAGTACTCCATTGTGTGTATGTACCACAGTTTGTTTATCCAATCTTCAGTTGATGGGCACTTTGGTTGTCTCCATCTTTTTGCTATTGTAAATAGTGCTGCTGTGAACCTTGGTGTGCCACGTCTCTTATTACTCAACTGCAAGCTATCTTAACAAGCATTGGCTCTCTGTGTAATGCCTAGCAGCTGGTATTGGCTCCTGTCTGGATGGTGGGATATTATGGGGTATGCTTGTAGCTTGGCTATATGGCCATGATTGCTCTCTCGTCTTGGGTAACGTAGGGACAGAAAGCTCCCACCCCCACGAATAAAGTAAGTTCAAAAGGACCCAAAACAGAAAAACCATAAAAGCACAGACAAAAACCAACACACAAAAACAAAACCCTAGCAGACAGTCCAGTAGCCTTTGCTGTACAGGTCAGAGTGCATGCACAGTAGAAACCTTCAGTGGTGGTGGTGGGGAGTGTCCACTCACTCAGGCCCCTCCTCTAGTCGCCACAATGGAGGTGCGCAGATAGATAATGAGAAATGAATGGAGGAAAGATTGTACACAATTATTTTCTCTGAATATCAGTTAGGTATCTGAGTATGCACAGCATGATTCTCAAAATGGCAGCATTCTTCCATATAGTAGTTGGTGTTGACTCTTGCCTTTTATGTTGGGGTTTTACAAGGTACAAATAAGGCTTGGCTGTATGGCCAGACCTGCTGTCTCTTGTTAGGTAAGGGTCCCACCCAGGTAAGAGTCAACTTTAGTGCTAAATCCGAGTCAGACGTCATAAGAAGCAGCCAAAAATTAGCTTGGGGGACGGCTGGGGCTTTCAGGGATTTCCTTTTTGTGCCGTGGCGAAATTGTACCCTGTGGGCGCAACACTGGACCCTTTTGGGGTGCACTCCCACCCTCCTGAAGGTGTCCGGGCTGGGCTTTAGAGGGTGCAACAGGGAAGAAGAGGAAAAAACAGTGAAAAAAGCCATTACACCTCTTTTTTCACAAGTTGCTCCTTGGCTTTAGCACTGTGTCAGCCTGGCTGTGGGCCCGCCCTGTGATCTCAGCCCAGGCTGAGGGTCCTACAGGAAGGGTCCCGATGGATTCGGAAATCTCTGTGTATTCCCGCCACAGTTAGACTTCTCCACTGGTGGGCCCCCGAAACTGCTCCCCCTGCACTTTATATTAGATCTAAAGCTCTGTAACTGTTCCGGCAAGGTGCCTTCTCTGTATTTTTTCACATCTCCGCCAAGGAGCCTTCACTGCCTGTCTCTGCTTCTCCTGCCCCCAAACTGGAAATCTCTAGACTTATTGTTAAGATGTTGCATGTGAGAAGGTGGGAAATAAATCTGACAAAAATTCAAGGGTCTTCTGGTGGTGTCAGTTCCGACTCAGCAACCCTGTACAGGGTTTCTGAGGCTATAAATCTTTATGGGAGCAGAAAGCATCATCTTTCTGTTGCAGAACAGCTCGTACTTTTGAACTATCGACCTTGGGATCAGCAGCCCAATTTGTAATCACGGCACTACCAGAGCTCCTTAGGGACCTTCTACTTTAGAGAAATTTCTAAGGGTCTTGTGATAGTAGCCAGACATAGGAGAAAAGACTTGGTGTTCTGCTTCCATAAGGACTGCAGTCTAGGAAACCCTATGGGATAGTTGTGCTCTCTTAGGTACTGTCACTGTGAGTTGAAATTGACTCAGCAGCACACAGCAGTTATATGAAGCACGCCCCACTTCTACATTACTTTTTTTCTTCCAGTCTACGGCCTGAAGGGGGAACTCCCTATTATCAGTTGACTAAGGAAGAGAGAAACTCAGGCCAAGTTTGCATAAGTCCTCTGTGATATGTAGGTACCACCCCGATGGGGAATGCTGCAAGCACTCCAGTCTCTTTCTGGGACTTTTCTGAAGAACACTGGTAAAGGAAAATCTCATAGTTTTCCAAACATCAAGAAATGTACTGCACTTCAGTTTGAAAGTACAAATGGCCAAATATGGCCAGTGGTTTTGCAGGATGGTCAGGAACTAGAAAGAAACATGACTGGAAGTTGGTGACAAGGAGGTTAGGGGAGAAGTGTGTGGCTAGACATCACTGAATGGACTGAAAACACGGTGACAATTGTGTCTCGTGAATGCTCACAAAAATGTGACCTCAGTGGAGGTGTGCCATGGAGTCAGTTCTGACTCCTAGCGACCCTGTACAGGGTTTCCAAGGCTGTAAATCTTTACGGGAGCAGAAAGCCTCATCTTTCTCCCATGGAACTGCTGGTAGTTTCCAACTGCAGAGCTTGAGGTTAGCAGCCCGACTCGTAACCACTATGCTACCAGAGCTCCTTGTGACCTCAGTAGAGGAGGGGGTTTTGTTCGTTTGTTTTTTTAATAAAGTGGATAGAATCACCTGTTATCTGAATACCAGTAAGTCTCTTTCCCCAACCACTTGTTGTCCCGTAGTATCATGTGCACAGTGGCTGTGGTACAGGGATGAAAGTTATGCATGGGCTCAACAATGTGGATTTCCACTCACTAAGTAATTTATTAGAGACCAACATGAAGTTCCTGAAATGGCACCATTACCCAGAGTGATCTGCCAACCACCTGGTGGCAGGTTGATCACGTTGAATTGCATCCATCGTGGAAGGAGCAACGTTCTGTTCTTATAAGAATAGATACACTCTGAATATTGATTGTTCCTTCCCTGAATGCAATGCTTGTGGCAAAACTACCATCTGTGGCTTACAGACATGCTTATTTACTGTCAGAGTATCCCACATAGCATTACCTCTAACCAAGGCACAATAAAAACAGAGGGAATAGAAGAAAATACTGTTGAATGATGATGCATGAATCATTTTAATGAAACGAAACAGGATAGGACCAGTGTAAAACCGATGTGCTCCATGTAAACCATCACTCAATTCACAATAAAAACTAAAAAAAAAAAAAAAACCAAAGGAGCATAGAAGTAGAACTTTTGATTCTAAGATGATTACTGTAAAGATTTAAAAAATGTAGATGTTATGCTGCAGTCTAGGGGAGAAAAGCAGCTTCTAGAGTAGTCTGATGGCTGATGGGGCCGGGTCCTACTGGATCGACTCTGCCTACGGCCCATATGCATAAGAAAAGTGGAATCTTTACTCTTTCTCTTATCTAGTATTGTAAAATAGACTGCGTGTGTGGTTTTTTTTCCCCCCCAGCCTATGTACAGGGTCGCTATGAGTTGTAACTGACTTCACCGCACATAACAACAACAACATATATAGGATATGGGTCCTTAGGTAGGAAATCTGAGTCCCACCCAGAACTTTTGCTGTTGTTCCTAAGTGCTTTCAAGTCGGTTCCACCTCTCAGCAACCCTGTATAGGATTTCCCAGGAGTAGCTGGTAAGCTTGAACCAAGAACTTTTGGAGTCCGTAAAACTACATTCACATCCTCCGTGCCATTTTTACAACTGTCAAATGAAAATTCAGTTTATCAGAAAGCTGTTGCCGTTGTTAAGTACCGTCAAATCTGTTACAGCTCATAGCAACTCTGTAGAGGGTTTCCAAGAAGAAGCTTATGGGTTTGAACCATGGCCGTGAGATTAGCAGTCTGGTGTTTATCATACAGCACCATACCAGGACTCCATCAGAAAGCTAATAGGATGTTATTTAAAGCAAGCAAAGCACACTCCTCCACCATTACTAAAACTTGGCTAATAGCACTGCCCAGCCTTTACAGTCTTGCTAAGTATCTTTGAATTTACTCAACCTGTTGTCAAACCATAGTTCTCGACTGGCATATTCCATATCAAAACTTCATTTTCTTGTTCTCATTTCATTTTCTCTAGATGCTGGCTGTGGTCCTCCAGGCAGATATGACTCTATGAAGCTCAAGGGTACCATTCAAGAGAGTTATGCTGTTGGTGCGACAGTAGAGTATGAGTGTCGCTTAGGATACATGCTGAAGCCTGCCGCTGGCACAACTACTATTTGTAAGGCTGATAAGTCATGGTCAGTTATCGAAGAAGCTTGTACAAGTAAGTAAACCACACTGTTTTTGTTTTCTTGTATGCTTTACTAACTCTTGAGACTTTTCTCACATTTTTACATGTACATTCCAGTATTGCAATGAAGATTTTCTTGTGAAACTAGGTTTTAAAAAGCAATGCATTCTTTTCAAACGTTCAGCAATCTTCAGGGAATCTTCTTCTTGGCAATGGGTTTCCTGGCTACATGTGAATCTGAGTTTGTTCTTGTTAACAGTGAAGTCAACAAAATAGCATTTCCCTTTAATTCAAAAGAGCAATGTAGAATTTTGATTTTTGACTCAAATAATGTTTTGAAGCTGTCATGAAAACCAAATTTTAAACTTATTGTCTTTTAGGAAAATCATGTCCCAATCCAGGAGAACCCAAGAATGGCCAAGTTATCCATGTAAATAAAACCTTGGAGTTTGGCTCACAGGTTGAATTTGCTTGTAACGAGGGGTAAGTTGCTCCTTAGAGGAAATGAGACAAATGTTATTCATTTCATTTTCATTTTGCTTCTCTTCTTAGACGTTCTTAGTCCATTTTGCTGAAAAATTGTGCTTATTCAGATGCCTCTTTGCATTTTCAGAGAGACTGGGAAGATGATATTAAATAGAAAATTGAATGAAGGAAGCAAAACTATATAGTATCTCATACTGTTTAACAAACAGTAAGTCTATTGAAAGCACTAAAATCATTGGTTGCATTGTGTTTAACAGCCAGGTGCATGTAACCCTATTTTTAAATGCCAACTCTTAGATTTGAAGTAGACCTTAACAGAAGTAGAAGGTAGAATTGCTAATCAAAGATGTTCTTATATCCAGACTATAACTGTGTACACTGTGTTATTAGACCCAAACTGAACTGATTAACCTTGACTGTCATCCGAATCAAGAGATCTCTTAGTAGGAAAACCTTCTCTTAGAGACTGTTGTCAAGGAGTAAAGCTTCTCACAAAAACAGACACTGAGCACTCAGTGTCCTTTCAAACTCACTGCCATGTAGTCGGTTCCGACTCACAGTGACCCTACACTGGCTTTCCAAGGCTGTCAGTCTTTACGGGACAGGGGTGGACAGTCTTATCTTTCTCTTGCAGAATGGCTTGGCGGGTTTGAGCCACCAACCTTGCAGTTAGCAGTACAATGCTTATCCTGCCATGCCACCAGAGCACCTTTAATAATATACATATTAGGAATATTGGACATTCATGAAAAATGTACTTCGAGAGAACTCATAAATGTACTTTACTATCAGATGGAAAAAATGAGTGACCCTCGGGAAGTCAGCTGTGAATATGTGCTGGCAGTTTCACTGATGATTTTTTTTTGACTTGATAAAAATCCTGGAATATCCAGGGAGTGTTGTTGTGAAGTGCCATTGAGTCAGTTACAAACCTGTATAGGGTTTCCGAGGAGCTGTTCAAACCAACCTTGCAGTCCAGTGCATTAACCCACAGCACCATGCCAGGACTCCTTAGGCGAGAGCCTCAAAGACACTTGGAGCAATGCTACAAGTTTAAGGCAGAGAAAGTTGTAAAACCTCATTGAGAAATACTATAGATCCTGAAAGTTCTCAAAGCAAAATAGCAAATGAGAAGTGCCCAACGTGTAGAATTATCTATGACAAACTGAGAGTCCAGAAGGAAAGAGATTATTGCGAGCTTGAACCATCTGAGAAGATTTTAGAGAGAGGTAGTCCTTAGTTACTTACTGCATTACTAAAAAGTTATTGACTTGTTCAAATGTGGAACTGGGACTCCAATCCAAGCAGTCTGCTCTAGAGCCTGATCTTTGTTCTTTGATCCATGTTCTCATTGTGCAGAACTGAATGCACTAAAAGGCACAGAATTGAATATGTAACATGATTCATGAGAATGCTAATGTAGCTTGACACCTTGACCTTTGACATGTATGTATTCAAATGAAGATACTGTTTATGAAATTAAATTGTAGATTTAGCTAGTACATTTACTATATGGCATTTATGAAACCTCTTCCTGAAATGACTGCACTGTAGAAAAACAAGCATATTAAAACAAAACAAAAAAAATCCCTGTATTATTTATTATGTACATGTTGTTAACTGCTATAGAAAACAATTATCTTTTTTTTTTTCTCCTGTAGTTATAGATTAATTGGGCAAAAAACTATATATTGTGAGCTTCTTGAGACAAACCAAGTTGATTGGAGCAATAGTAATCTTCCAGTATGCGACGGTAAGTAATTTCTGTTTTTAACATTTAGATCAGTAATTCTCAAGCTTTTTGACCTCTGGTGGACCCATTTACATTTTTAAATTCAAGCGCCCCCCCCGAACTTTCCTTTTACATCTGTTGATATTCATTATACTGGAGTTAAAAGTGTGAAGTTCAAAAATTTATTTATTCATTTTTTGGAAATAGTAAATGTAATACATGTTGACATATGTCATATATTTGTATGAAAAATACAGCTTTTCAAAAATGAAAAGATAGCGAGACTAGCGGCATTCTTTTACAATGTTTTGAAAATGTCTTCAATATCTGGTTTAAGAGAAGACATCAGGGTGCTTGTATTTACTTCTGCATTCAATCTGTTGCAATATTTACACAACTAGTGGTGGTGGTGGTGGTTGGTGGTGTGCCGTGGAGTCAGTTCTAACTCTTAGCAACCCTACATAGGGATTCTGAGGATGTAAACCTTTACAGGAGTAGAAAGCCTCATCTTTATCCCGCAGAATGGCTAGCAGCCTGATTCCTAACCACTATACAACCAGAGCTCCTGGACATCACAAGAATGAAGTGAAAAAAGCCAGTAATTTATTAGTATTATTGTGAACCATTAACTTATTTGTAAATTATAAAGCATTTTTTTTCTCAATTGGAATTCATTTCTATATTTACTTACAAACTCAAATTCAAATATCAGATTCTATAATGATTAATGACAGGTAAATACAGGCATTCCAGACCTTCTTAAGAAAATGGGTTTTATTCTGATAGCTTATTCAAACTAACATTTTGAATTGGGATAATGCATATTCTAATAGAAACGCTCTTCTGATTGGCTATCGGATTCACAACTGGCTTGCAGAAATTGTATGTTGATGAATTTATTGAAGGCAGTTCATCAAATTCAGCTAATGATAACTTAGTCCTTTGCCTTTTTGCCTTTCATTTCCTATTTGATGTATATATGTGTATATACATGTATGACTAATGTCCTCTTTCCCCTTTTTTAAGTGGTTAAGTGTATACCACCTAAAGACATACAAAATGGAGAATACAGCAACTATGGAAAGGAGGTCTATGAATATAGTGAAGCAGTGCGTTATAAATGTAAGGCACATGCACCAGATCCATATTCACTTGTTGGAGCAGAAAAACTGTTTTGTACTACCACCGGGGAATGGAGTAGTGAGCCTCCTCAGTGTAAAGGTAATGCTCTTGATACTTATATCATTCTCCACTCGTAAATAGCCTGAAAATAGTCTGTATAGAATTTCACTTACATTTGAAAAAAGAAAGTCAAACTATATATGTGCGTTTTCTTCTTACAAAATTAGTTTCCTGTTGAATTTAATATAGGTCAAGCAGCGTTGATAATAGTTCTAATTGAAGGAAACCACCACTTCCAGTATTCTTTGCGTTTGAATTTGTACATTGTGAACTATTGTGTATAAATGTGTGTTAGGATTTTTTTTTTTTTTTTTTTGCATTGGAGGGAAACAAAAATCCCAAACATGCTGCCTTAAAATTAAGGTTTTCTCTTCTCTGGGTAATGGGTATAGTACCTTGTTAATAGAATAAATGTCTCACTGACAACAGTGATAAACTATGGAGAAAATACAGAAAGCCTAGATGTGTAAGGCTCTGGAGAGTTATCAGAAGACAATGTAACCACTGAAAGAAGGGAATAATAACAAAATGTAAACTCTTTGAGTACACATGGAATATCTGCAAAGATAGGGCATTTTCCAGGCCATAATGCAAATTTCAGAAAACTGCAATCATTTAATACTCAGATCAAAATGGAATGAAAGTGAAAATCATTAATAGAGATTTCTGAAAAATCCTCAATCTTTGGGAATTACGTAGTATACTTATAAAAAACTTATTTATCAAAGAGGAACTCAGATGGGAAATTAGAAAATATTTTGAATAAAAATAAATATAAAACATCAAAATTTGCGGATAGAGCTAAAGCATTGTTTACTGAGACATTTATCACATGAAATGCTCATATTGGAAAACAAAAAGTCTCAAGTCAGTTTTGTCCATTTCTAAATAAACCTAAATCCAAAGCAAGCAGATGGAAGGAAATAATAAAGGTAGAGTAAAATCCAATGAAACTGAAAAGACAAAAAAAAGTAGAGAAAACTAATAAAATCAAAAGCTGGTTCTTGCAGATCAATAAAATGGATATACTTACAGTCAGAATACAAAGTATAAAGCCAAGACATAAATTGCCCTTATCAGGAATGAGAAAGAGGACTTTCATTAAATATCCTGCAGGCAATGAAAAGATAAAAAGGGAATATTATGAACTCCTTTGTCACTCTAAGTCTGTCATTCAGATGAAGCTGAGAGATTCCTTGAAAGACACTAAATACCAAAATGTACTCAAATATAAATAATGTGAATTGTCCTAAATCTAGTGAAGAAATAGAATTTGTATGCTAAAGCTTTATCCCAAAGAGAACCCCAAGCCTAGATATGGCTTCAAGGGGCTGATTCTACAAAAACTGAAGGAATAAACAATAGGAATTCTATGCAAACTCGTCAAGAAAATACAGGAGGAGGGAACACTTCTTAGCTCATTTTTGAAGATGGTGTTATTACCCTGATACCAAAACCAGACAAAAACATTATGTGAAAATTATGGACAATACTCTTGAATAAGGATAGAGCCAGAACTTCCCAATAAAATATTAGAAATCAAATCCACTTGGTGCAAATTGATGTGACTCCATGTGTGTCAGAGTAGAACTGTGCTCCATAGGATGTTTAGTGGTTGAGTTTTTGATGTCAACCCTTGAACCTTACAACATTTCAGCTGTTAACCATTTGAACCATGCAAGGACTTTGTAAATCAAATTTGATCCTATATAAAAGAATAATATAAGCAATTAGGATTTAACTCATGAGTTCAAGATTGATTTAACATAAAAATTAATCAGTATAATTTATAATATGTAGAGACTATAAAGAGACAATATGATCACTTTAATCGAGGCAAAGAAAGAATTTGACACAATTCATCATCCTTTCATGATAAAGTATCTCAAAAAACTAGGAAGAGAAGGGAATGAATTACCTCAGTCTAAATATGGCTTCAAAAAAGTCTCCGGTGATATCCTGGTCAAGGGAGCAAAGGAGATGGTGATAGCTGTAGATGTCATGAGGTGAGCCAGAATAAGGTCACCATTGCAAATCTAATAGGAAAAGACCCAGTAGAGTGTAGACAAGATGTTGTCATTTGTCCTGATTCCAGCTGTCAATGCAAAAAAAAAAAATTTTTTTTAAATGGAGGAACGATATGACCCAATGGCTCTGCCTTGGAGGTAATCTGGGTGAACTGAATTTATTTTAGTCTGGCTGTGGAAGAGAGTCTGAAGGAACAAGAGTATAAGAAGAAAGGACTTGGATTTCTCATCATCTATGCAGGCCCTCCTCTCCTGGTTCATGAAATCGGGTTGGAAGCAAAGTTACAACACACTCTCTTGCTAAAAAACAAAACGAGCAATGGAGATCATTAGGTATTCAGAATCACGTGGAAAAGGATGGACTTATCTTTACAAGCTGTGGTCCCAGAACCAGCTGCAAATTTGTTTTTGTTGTTGTTGAGGCTCTGAGTGGCAAAGGAGGTAGCTGATCACATGGAAGTTCCACTAGTTCTTAAAGATTTGGGCAGAAATGTATGATGATGTTAGAAAAATAGGCCATATGTATTCTAATCTCACTCTGGGTACTTTAGAGAAAAATGGTTGCTTAATGTGCAGGAAAGTCATTGTGGAGTACAGTTATGAAGTAACCACTCCACAGAGATTGATTTCTCAACCTAAAACTCTGCTTCCGGGCATTCTGGAATCTTGTCTGCAGAATAAACAAAACATCTAGCACACCCACAAAAGAAAGAAGTTGGGAGATTCCCACTTTTGAAATTCAAGACTTACTGTCAAATATATAATGAAGCATACGTGGTATTGGCGAAGGGATAGACGCATGTTATCAGTGGAACAGAATCAAGGGTCCAGAGATAAAGCCATGTATCGATTTTTGATTTTCATTGCAGCCTTGGTCCTGGGACCCCACTGCATCAGGCAGGGAAAAAGAAGGTTGAGGTGAATGAGGGGTTGGAGATCAACATTGGAGTAACGTAGGGAAGAAATATCTAAGCATACCAGCATCCTTACCCCCTACTCTCCAGGTTTACCAGTAAAGCAGGGGAATCTATGTAGTGGAGATAGATGCTCCCTTGGTGTTGGCTCATGTTGAATGTGAGCACATACTCATGCCTATTTCTCTCCCCTACTCCGTTTTCCACAAGCAGTATTGTAACTGCTGATTCCAACTCTCTATCAAACCATTATTCTGAGGATAGAAGTGTGTCCTTGGTATAAAGAAATGCACTTCAGCAGTTGCAATTGTTGTCGTATCTTCTCTTCTGATTCTTTTTTATAGTGGTTTGAGCATTTGCATATACTACTGAGTAAGCAAAGTCTGGTTGAAAGTGATTTTCTGTTCCTATGAGGATCTATTTGTAGCTACCCGGGGCTACTGGCAGCAGTCCAACTTGCTAGCTACGTGTGAGGCCTTCCCCTGGGGGAATCTGCCCCATAGCCACTCTCTTTTGTTGACAGACATAATAGTTCTGAGTGGCATTCTGGTGACAGACATAATAGTTCTTCTTGGCATTTTGCGCCTCACCAGTACAAGAGGACTATGTCTAGATTGATTTCATTTCTGCATTGCTGCACCTTCCCCATTTCCATTTACCTCATGGATCCAGTTGTCTTTTTTTCAAGGAAGAATACCAGGCTATGTACTCACTGGTGCGAATTAATTTCACATCCTGGAAGGTGGGTTCTTATGATGGGCATGAGCATGTCCTACTCCAGTGCATTCCTCAAATGTTTTAAAATGTTAATTGGAATGGCACACAGCCCTGAATGCATTACAGATTGGACTTTTTTCAAAATTGAAAACTTCTCTTCTGCAACAGACATTCTTTAAATAATGAAAAGATCCGCCACAGACTGAGAGAAAATGTTTGCAGAATGCATATCTGATCATGACTTTGTATTCATGCTATGGCAAAAACACTCAAAACTCAATAAGGAGACAATTTAATATTTTAAAAGAACAAAAGATTTGAATAGACATTCCCCCAGAGAAGATACATGTATGACACATAAGTACATGAAACTATGTTCAATATTATTAATAATTACAGAAATTCAAGTTAAGACTTCAATGAGAATACCACTAAACACATGTTAGAATGGTTGAACATTTTTTCAGAAAATTGACAATACCAGGTATTAACAAGGATACAGAGTAATAGACACTCGTCCACTGCTGGTGGAAATGCAAATTGGCATAGCCTGTTGGGACACAGTTGGCAATTTTTTATAAAGTCGGTGAAATTAAAATACAGAAATCTATATGTGACTGTGCATAGCAACTTTATTAATAATTTCTCCCCAAACTAGAAACAACCTAAATATTCTTCAACTAGTAAAGAGATAAACAACCTCTGTCATACAATAGAAGGAACTATTGATTCATGCCACAGTGTGAATATCAAATGTATTATGGTAAGGAAAATAAGCCGTATTTGAAAACTATGTTCCATTTATATAATAATCTGGAAAAGGCAATACTATAGGAATAAAAATAGAAAACTCATCAATGGTTGAGTAGTAGGGTACCACTCAGTCAGTGGTTGATGGCACAAGGGACATGAGGGAATCTTTTTTGTCAATGGAACTTGTCTATATCTTCTTTGTGGGTGTTACTTGATTATTTGTATTTGTCAAATTGCATACATCTGTACACTTAAAAGGATGAATTTTAATGTAAATAATATCAAATAGTCCTAGTTTAAAATTAATCATTAGTTGCAGTTAGCAGCAGATTACCTTTACAGAACTGTAAACCTGAAGACAGGACAGGTCATAAGAACTCCATATGGTAAGTTTTCAAGAGTAAGAGAAAGAGCCTTGTAGACGTATTGGGAAACGATCAAACAGTTGAACATACATGTCATTAAGAGGCTATGCTTTATTCTGGATCTTTCCTTCTGGTCAGATTTGACTACATACAGTGTTCTCTTGTACTCACTGTCCCCGGCCCGATGTGTTGTTTTTTTCCCAAAGAAATTTCCCCAATCCCATTAAAGGTTCAATTAATTTAGTATGTCTGGGCCAGCCAGCATTATACTTTTCACAAAATAGAGCAGAACGGGAAATGATAGGGTATACAGGTGTGAAGGCAAAATATTGACTTTTAACTTTTATTTCAGGCCTGTGTGCATGTAAGTTGTTGTTATGTACTGTTAAATCTGTTCCAATTCAGAGGGTTTCCTAGGAGCGGCTGGTGGGTTTGAACTGCCGACCTTACAAGTAGTAGTCCAGTGCTCATCCCACAGCACCACACCAAAACTCCATGTGCATGCATAGTGGTTTGAAATGTAAAACATGCTTCTTTAACTCTGGGTTGTGGTCAGGAACTCTGGAAAACAACTACCTCAAGTCCAATGTTTTTTTTCTAGTCCATAAACATCCTAGTCTATATATGTTAGTTCTTCTTGAGAACTTTGTTTTTGTGTATTTTTGCCTGGTTAACATCTTTTCAACTTTGTAATTTGAACTCCACTTTTGAATTTGAGACCATCTCAAGAACAGATTTGATGTACTGAATACTAGTGACTGAAGCCCAGGCAAGTTATGGGATGACATCAAGAATATGATACATGGAGAAAGCAAAAGGTCATGAAAAAAGCAGAAAAGACCAAAGCAGATGTCAGAATAGACTGGGAAACTTGAACGCAGAGTTGCTAAAGTGAATGGAAGGAATTATGAAGTAAAAGAGCTAAACAGAAAGTGTTAAATGACTGCCTAAGAAGACAAAGTAAAGTAGTACAACAAATGTGTAGGCCTGGAAAAAGGAAAGAACACACTCGGCATCTCTCAAGCCGAAAGAACTGAAAAACTTCAAACCTAAATTGCAATATTGTACAGTTTTACACACTGGACTTGGAGCCACAAGATCAGCAGTTCAAACCCACCAGCTGCTCTTCAGAAACACTATATACAGGGTCGCTGTGAATTGAAATGAACTCGATAGTACTCAACAACAATTGGTAAAGTATTGAATGATGAGCGAAGCATCAAAACAAGATGGAAGGAATATACAGAGTCATTGTGCCAAAAAGAATTAGCCATTTGAGGAGGTAGCATGTGGTCAAGAATCACTTAAAGGAAGAAGTCCAGGCTGCACTGAAGGTATTATTTAAAAACAACAACAAAAAAAAACCTCAGGTTTCCAGGAATTGACAGAATATCAATTGAAATATTTCAACAAACTGATGCAGTGTAGGAAGCTCTCGCTAGTCTATGCCAAGAAATTTGGAAGACATAGATACCTGGCCAGTCAACTAGAAGGAATTCATATTTGTACCCATTTCAAAGAAGGGGACCCTACAAAATGTGGAAAGAATCCAACAAAGTCATTAATCTCACATACAAGTAAAATTTTGCTAAAGATAATTCAAACATACTGGTAGCAGCACATTGACAGGGAGCTGCTGGAAATTCACCTGGATTCAGAAAAGGACGTGGATTAATGGCTACCACTGCTGACGCCAGATGAAAGCAGAGAATACCAGAAAGATGTTTACTTGTGTTTTATTGACTATCAAAAGGCATCTGATTGTGTGATAATAACACATTACAGATAATATTGAGAAGAATGGGAATACCAGTAACACTTAATTGTTCTCATGCTGAACCTGTATCTAGACCAATAGACAGTCGTTAGTTGGAACAAAGGGGGTACTGAACCATATAAAATCTGGAAGAATGTGCATCAGGGTTGTATCCTTTCACCATAGTTATTTAATCTGAATGCTCAGGCAGTGATCCCAGAAGCTGGAAGAGCACAGCATCAAGATTTCAGGAAGGCTTATTATCAACCCGGAGATATGTAATGACACAGCCTTTCTTGCTGAAAGTGCAGAGGACTTGAAACATTTGCTGATGAAAATAAAAGATCACAGCCTTCAGGATGGATTACAACTCAATGTAAAGAACAAACAACTGAACCAATAAGCACAACATCGTGATAAATGGTGAAACCATGGAAGTTGTCAAGAATTTATTTTTACTGAGATCCACAACCAATGCCTATGGAAGCGGAAGCCAAGCAATAACAATGACGTATTGCATTGGGCTGATCTGCTGGAAAAGAGCTCTTTTTAAATGCTAAAGATAATGTTAAAGATAAAACATGTTAAAGATATCACTTTGAAGACTAGGGTGCACCTGACCCAAGCCATAGTAATTTCAATCACCTCATATGCATGCTAGAGCTGGACAATGAATGAAGAAAACTGGAAAAGAATTGATACATTTGAATGACAGTGTTGGCAAAGAAAGTTCCATGGACTTCCAGAAGAATAAACTAATCTGTCTTGGAAGGACAGCCAGAACACTCCTTAAAAGTGAGGAGGATGTTAAGTCTCGCCAACTTTGGACATGTTATTAAGAGCAACCAGACCCTGGAAAACTGCATCATGCTTGATAAAGTAAATGGGGTCAGAGAAAAAGAGTAAGGCCCTCTAATGAGATTGGTCGATACAGTAGCAGCAACAATGGGCTCACATATAACAATTGTGAAGGTGGCGCATGACTGGGCAGCGTTTCATTCTGTTGTGCACAGAGTCCCTTTGAGTTGGCTCTAACTAAATGACACGTGACAACAAGAACAATAGCTTATCAGGAAAGCCTTCCCTAAAAAGTAGGAGGTTTTTATTAGGCTTAGCATGACCTTTAAAACAAACAACAAAACAAAACAAAAAAACCACCTTGAGGTAAACAGTATCAAAGTTTCTTTTGTAGCTTCTCTGAATTTTGTGTCATAAAACTTTAGGAAAAAAAAAAAAAATTAGGAAAGCAAATCAACTACAACAACCATGTTTTGATGGGGAGGGAAGAGTTTAGATTTTTATGTATCTGTGTACCTGCTAATTTTTTTATTTTTATTTTTCCATTTTAAACACATAAAGTCATTTTCCAACATCTTGCTTCCCATTTCTTGTATCTTTTTTCCCCACTGGAAATTACTACTTCAATGCTACTTTTTCTGGGCCTTCAGTCAGCTTTCCAAGTAATTCTGTGGCTTCTTTACTTTTCAGTGGTCAAATGTGTGTTTCCAATCGTCGAGAATGGAGACATAATTGAGGGACGTGCCTCAAAATTTTACTACAACGCAAAGGTTACATTTCAATGCCAGGAAGGTTTTACCATGACGGGAAACAGAACAACTGTCTGTGAAGAAACTAATTTATGGACCCCCCCACTTCCACAGTGTGTTAGAGGTAAGAAGATTGACTTTCTCCTTTTTGTTCCATTTTTCAGTGTTATTTCTTGAATACTAAGTCTCAGTGGCACAGAAGCACTGAAAAGACACAACTTTAGTATTTAATTTGGTCTCTTCTCATTCCCATGCCAGATACATGATACAAACTTCACATGGAATTCTGTTGTGATTTTGTGTTTTCATAGGGGCGTGTTAGGTGTACATTACACTAGTCTGTAAATTTTGTTAGATGTTTTTACATATACAAAGTAGATAGCAGCAAGTTTTCACTTTTGAAGCATGGACATTTGTATCTAAATGAAGAAGAGTGAAGGTCATGAAAAACTCATAAAAATAGACTAAGATACAGTTACTTCCAAGTGCTTGATCCAGTCTGCAGTGCCAAGTCCTCCCACTACAAAACCTCCAAATTTCAGTCATTCATGTCTAGTAATGTCCCGCTGTAACACAACAATGTCTATATTTAAATTCCTTAAATTCATGGTGAAAATGTGAGCAATTAACTCCCAAGTGTTTGATCCAATCTGCATTGTTTTGTTTTGTTTTGTAGTGCCAAGTCCTCCCACTACAAAACCTCCAAATTTCAGTCATTCCGATCTAATAATTTCCTGCTTATATATTTTTAAATTTCTTAAATTCTTGGTAAGAATGTCAGCAGTAACTCCCAAGTATTTGATCCAGGCTACATTATGATTTTGTTTTGTAGAGTCGACTACTTCAATGTCAACTTTTCCTAGTACAACAGCATCTACACTTTTCAATCATTCAGGTTCAGTACCTTCCTGCCTTTTTAAAAAAAAATCAAACCTTGACATTCTTCATGATTTTCATTCATTCATCACTTTCAGTGTGATCCTACAGTATACGCATTGGACTGCTTGCTAGCTGCAGGTTCGGTGGTTCAAATGCATCAGCCACACCTCAGAAACCCTGTACAGGGTCACCATGAGTTGAAACCAACTCGGCAGCACTTTATAACAATCACTTTTAGTAATGAAATGAGAAAGAAAATTTCCCCACATACGTGCATTTAGTAACTGAGTAAACTGCTAATGTGTTTTCTCACACGTAAAATGCTTTTAGTATCTTCCTCATTGGGTGATTGTTGGTATTGCGTGCCGTCTAATTAATTCCGACTCACAGTGACCATATGTTGTCATCAGTTTTGACCCTGTATAGCGTTTCCCTGGAGAGGCTGGTGGGTTTGAACTGTTGACCTTACAGGTAGTGGTCCAATGCTTACCTGACATCAGGAATCTATAATGACCACACAGTGACCATACACTACTGTGTAAACTGCCCCCCATTGTTTCCTAGGGTGGTGGTGTGGCGCTGAGGGTTAGTGTGCTGGACCACAAGGTTGCTTTAAACTGCAAGGTCGGTGGTTCAAGCTCACCAGCCACTCCTCGGAAATCTTATACAGGGTCACTATGAGCCAGAACTGACTCCACGGCACTTAACAACACAGCAACAATCTTTACAGAGGAGCATGAGTGGCCCAGTAGTTAAAGCATTTACCTGCTTACTGAGCTGCTTCAAAGGAGAGATGTGATCATTTTGTTTCCATAAAGATTTACAGCTTTGGAAGGCCTGCTGAGATAATTCTACTCTCATAGGGTCATCAGGAGTCGGAATCGACTTGCCTGCTTCTGCAATGGGTAATCTTTATGAGAGCATATGTTGTTGTTGTTGTTAAGTGCCGTCAAGTAGATTCCAACCCATAGTGACCCTATATAGGGTTTCCAAGGAGCAGCTGATGAGCTTGAACCACCGACCTTACAGTTCAAACGACTTTGCAATCTGACGCATTAGCCCACAGCGCCACACCAGAACTGAGCATATAGGAAGCTCTTAAAATGAGTTAATATGATCTATATCACTATTCGAACAAATACCTCTGAAAAGGAACTTCCATGATTACTCTCTTTTTTTAACATGTGTATTATTTGTGCCTTCAACTTTGCCCTTTTAATTATGTGTTTCAAGGGTGGTCTGTTGGCTTCTTTACTAGGTCTCTCCCTGGTCCATGGCTGTGGACCAGCCCTTTTAAATCGGAGCATTGAAGCCAGGGATGTTTTAATGTCTCCAAAACAATTTCGATACTTCTTTCCTTCTTCCCTCCTCATACAATTCATTATTCTTTTTCTCATTACAAAGTAGTTTTCTTTGGCAACAGAAAGTAAGTCTCATGGTAATCGAAAAGGCAGGGAAAGCCCTTCTTTACTGAAATGAAATGGAGGATTTCTTGTAGAGAGTGTTCATCAACTATTTGGCCTAAGACTTGCGCGGTTATCTGACTTGACAGGAGCTTATCTTCCTGATTTCAATGCTGTTCCCTCTACAGCGCCACACACTGGGTAGCTCTAATTGTGTTCATAAGAAACGATGTCTGAAAAATTAAGTGAAAAAGAGTAAACTGCAGATTATGTAGTATGATCCCACTTTAAAGGTGTTTTGTTGTTTTAAGATACTAGCACTGGACCACAAGGTCCACGGTTCAAGCCCAAAAGCCGCTCCTAAGGAGAAAGATAAGGCTTTTGCTCCCTCAAAGACCTAAAGCCTTTGGAAACCCTATACAGGGCCACTTTGAGTTCAAACTAACTCAACGGCACTTAAAAACATTATCTACACGAGGAGCACTATTGGTACTGTAGGCTAAGCACTGTACTGCTAACTACAAGGTCCACAGTTTGAGCCCACCAGCCCCTGTAGTGGGAGGAAGATGAGACTTTCTGCTCCAGTGAAGATTTACAGCCTCAGAAACTCTATATAGGATCGCTGTAAATTGGAACTGATTCAATGACACACAACAACAGATTTACCTGATAATACTACCTTTGGCTAAGCACTCAGCTGCTCACTGAGAGGTCGGTGGTTCAGACCCACCCAGTGGCACTGCAGGAGAAAAGACCAGGAAATGTGCTTCCCTAAAGATTGTCATCTTTGTTGTTATTGAATGCTGTTGAGTTGTCTCCACTCATAGCAGCCCTATTTAGGGTTTCTAAAAAGCAGCTGGTGGGTTTGAACTGTCCACCTCTTTTGGTTTACAGTGCCACACCATGACTCCAGCCTAGGAAATCCCATGGGGGCAGTTCTAGTCTGTTTTAGGGCTGTTGTCAGAATCGACTTACAGGCATACAACTTGGTAGGATTCTTTTATACAAAGGTACAGTGAACATTATCTTTACGTACTTGTGCAAATATACACCCACTGCCATCACGTTGATTCTAACTCATAGCGACCCTATTTACAGCTTCTGAGATGGTTAATATTTACGAGAGCAGACAGCTTCATCTTTTCCCTCAGAGCCACTGTTGGTGGGTTTAACTATGGACCTTGTGGCTAGCAGTCCAATGCAAATATATATTTGGGTTAAATTCCCAGAAGTAAAATTGCAAAGTTTGGAGCCGTATCCACATTTGTCATTTTTATTCATAATGAATCATTTCAAAAAAGTCTAAAATACTTCTATAGTATTGATAAAGCTGGTGAATTAATAGAATCAAATTTATTCTTTTATTTTTCCAGATGCTTCTCCTACTTCCCCCAATTCTGCAGTTACATATGTTCCAGGTTCAGTAAATCTTAACCCTATTTTTATCGTTAAAAACTTTTTATGGTGATGGGTAAAAAACTGATGACTTGTGGTAATTTAATTTTTAGTAATGATGAACATTTTTCCCATTGCATTTATTGGCTAATATTCTGTCATCCGTAAGCTGTTTATTCATATCCTTTGCCCATTTTTTTTATAGATTTCTTAAATATTTTTCTTACTTGAGAGCTTATTATAAATTAAAGCTCTTTTGATATGAAGTGAACATTTTTCTAATTTTGTGGTGGAGGGGAAGAGGGGACTTTTTTTTACTAGTCAGGTTTTTGGTTGTCTTTCATACTATTGGATTTATGTTCTTTTTTTTTTTTTACAACTTTTAACTACATGCAAACACATTTTTGTTAAAATTTAAACATTACAAAAGTATATGAACAATTAGTTCTCAGTTTATGACTTATTAATTGTAATAATATAGGGTTTTAACAATTATAATAATTCAGGCTTTCTTTGTATCTGTTTAAGTATATGATCACCCATGTATGTGTAGCTCTTAGTTGTATACATAGTTTGAGTTTTTGGGTTAAACAAACGTGACCTCATGATTCACGTATTTTTACTGCAACCTGCACTTTTTCTTCTGACTGTCTTGGATGGATTGCGGGTGTATTTAGCTTTGTGCCCATCCTCCTGACTGATGACATGAATCTATAGCAGATTTTATGTAACTGTTCTAGCAGTGATCACTTCTGTATTATAGAAGCTTCATGTTATTAGGTAGTTGGATAGATTGATCTTTTCCAAATTCTGTTTTTTTTATAAAAGCTTGACATTTTCCCCGTGCAGAGATTAAACTAAGATTTCACTCATGTGTTCTTTGCATTTGAATTATCTGTACATCTGAAATTCACTGTATTGTGTGGAAAGAGGTAAGTAAGGTTCCTCCGGACCACCCACCTATCCCCATTCAGCTCTACACAGCACCATTTAGTGACTAAATTGACTTCTCTTCCATTGCTTTGAAGTGACTCTTTGTATCATACATGAAATACAAGTTGTTCTAGCCTTCTTTCTGTTCCCTGAAACTGTGCCAGCAGCGAACAGTTGTAACTGTCGCAGCACTGTAACGACAGGTATTAATACCTGACAGAACATTTGATTTTCAGAAATGTCTTGGCTATTAGCATGCTATTTTTTCCCCCAGTTTTAAGTCATTTGTTAAGCCCTCTCCTATCCTTTATATATCTTTATCATCAATACCAGTTGCCACTGAGTCAATTCTGACTCTCAGTGACCTAGAATCACATAAATTTCAAAGACTAATTTTGGGACTATAATAGTGATAATATTTGCTCTCTGTACCATAGAATATTGTCACATGAAATCTTAGTGGGCAGTGAAAAGAAAGTAATAGCCTTCTATGAATTTTTAAATTTCAAAGGTG